GCATTTTTCACTCTCTGCCAGAGTCGTGTCAGAATGTCAGGCAATATAAATGGCCCGATGTCGGCCTCCAGTCCATAGACTACCATGTGGTCATAAATCGAGCCATCTAGCCGATCTGCTCTACTATGCCAGGCTCCACTGTTTGTACTTTTTTGTTCGGTTTTTCTGTGTTTTCTGTTTGCTTGGTTCTATTTCGAATGGCTGCCTCGCGTATTATTCTTTTTTTATACGCTTTCAATTTGGGTCAATAACATTTGGCAACTTCAGTGCGTCGCCAACAAGAAACAGCAAGAAAAAAGGCGCCAAGTTCGCCGATCGGAGGCTAAAACGAACACACAATGGCTGCCAAAGTTAATTGCAATAAAATAGCAACAATGGCAACTATTTTTCATTAATTACAAATTGAAATGAGCGCGAGCAATTTTCACAAATCCGCCATTAAAAAATCGTTTTTCGTTTGAGTTGAGCCGCTTCTATAGAAACGATTTGTTGTGTTTTGTCTGGGAAACAAATAAAGCGAAAGCTATTAAAATCTGGGTATAATAATATACACCGAATATATCGAACGGAATAGTTTGAATATGGAAAACAATGTGAAAATATGGGCGACATAATAAAAGTATTAACAGAATATTAAGTCGGAATATCTGGGCTTATTTATGACCGTCCATAATGAAAAGTGAAAAAACTTTTACTTTTGCTTGGGGTGGGCAAACAAAAGATATAGCTTTATAAAGACGGACAGATTCTTTTGAGTGAAACTTTTGGGAGAAACATTTCATAATTTCGAGCTGTAAAAAGGTGTGGGCTTGGCATACTGTATATATATCTCTTGTCTAGAACCGATTTCGCCATATAACCACTTTATTTGTCAACAGTTGACATCGACTGTCGCAATTTTGTCAGATTTCAATTTGTCAAGATTTTTTGTGGAAGGTGGAAGTGTGTCTGTGATGGCCCTCAAACAAAAAAAGAAAAATAAACCAAGCAGCTGCCAAAAAGTGTTTTCTTGTACAAACACGAAAATTGTTTAATCATTAAAGAAAAGAAACACAAATAATACGCGACCTTATCTTCAGTTTAAATTTGTATATCTACAAAAAGACAAATTATCAGGTTTTATTTCTCAGGCAAATAAAAGCAGACGAAGACCTCTAAAATCTTATCGCTTTTCAAGCGATAAAAGAAACAGATTAAGAAAAGAGTGGGAAGATAGCTCACTGAAAATTGTGTTAAGGTAGCTAATAAGCTAGTGTCAATGTTTGGCCAAAGCTTCCATTTCTGTAACCACAAATACACAGAATTGTTTTCATTGTATCGCCCTCAACGCAATTTCATATTTTCATTTATATTTATTCATTTTTTTTTTGGTTGCTTTTACCGCTGCCATCAGCAGCAGATACAACAAAAACAATGCAGGCAAGTCAATGTCGTCAACACAACTTTTAACATTACACAACAACAGCAGCAACAAAACACAAAACAACAATTGTTGGCTAGGTTTTTCATGCTTTTTAATGCCGCATTGTCATCACATTTGTTGCCATTACTTAGATATATGCATATGTACATATGGGCATCTATATATGGCATTGTATGTATAGAGCCAGCAATTGTTGCCAATATGAATGGGTTAAAAGGGGGGTGTTGCGGAAGGCGATAAAAATGGAGAAACACGTGAGAAGGCTGAGAAATTAATGACGTACTGGTAACGCTTTAATGAAAAATGCTATGGTAAATTATAGTAATATATAAAGGTCTGAGGATCTAGGCGGAAATAATAATAAGAGATGGAATAAGGAACGTGAAACTAATTTTCAGAAAACACAAACATTGTTAAATTTTCCATAATCTATTTTCCCATTTTATCACACTTTGTAGTACGTTTTTACAATTATCCAACAGTAAACAGTAAGCGATATTTTCCTGTCCATTTTTCTACCTCTCCAAAACAAGATCTTTGACTGATATTACCGCTCAAAACATTTCTTGGAAGGCCCTATCGATAGCTACTTTCTCTCCTCTTCTTGGGCTTGTTTACCATTCATTGATCTATCAGTTGCAGACTTATCTGGCATATAGGATCGCAGGCACTACCTGCTCTTATCGGTTTCTCTTTCTCCTGCTGAAAAACATTCGCAGTTGTCCCGTGTGGGTTTTCCTCTGTCTGGAGTTCCCCTACTCGATTTTACCGCCTTCTCCCTACTTTTTCCCTCTTGTGTGGGCATTGTTGTCTGCTTTTAATCAGTCTGAGGCATGGCATAATCATCATCATCGTCGTTTTCGTTCTCCTTCCAACATCGTCATTGTCAAAGAGAAACATAAACATAATTTTTTCATATTTTGCTTCATTTTTTTTTTTGCAAAATGCAAAATGGATATCCGGTGCTGGTCGTTCCCAGAAGGAAGTACGCAGTGGCTTTAGCAATTGACTAACTGAACGATTGACTAAATGACGGAGAACCAAAGCCATGAATCACTTTAAAAAAAACGGGTAGACAGAAAAGGAGTCTTTTCATTAGCAGTTCTTGCATTCTCCTTCCTTTTTTTTTGCCCATTAATCGTGGGCCATTATGCAAGACACGCGCCTCCAGCTCGACTGCAATCCATATGCATTATTCCGGGGGTATGTGTAGGGGATTCGGGGGAATTACGAGGTATAGGAGTTGCCTGCACCTCTGCACCGATCGTTAGTTACATGCTGACCATTTAAGGGCAGACAGACTTCGAGTGGCAACAAAAAGCGAAAGCGTTTCCGAGAGACCTTGAGGCGGTTTCTTCAACTCGTTCTCGGTTTCAGAATTCTCCACCCCCTGTCCTGTATCTTTGTATCTTGAAGTGCACACACAGCAGGAGGTTTTGGGTTGGAGGAAAACGCAGTTCTCTAAGCATTTCAAGTGCCTCTCTCTGTCTCGTCAGAATTAGCCGGGGAAACCTTGACATCAAACGCAGCGAGAAATTTCCCCAGCTGATATGTAGGCATTGAAAGTATCTGGCAGATACACAAAGGGATAGCACATGTGGAATGCTTACGAAATCGAAAGGGGAGGAGAGATACAAAAGTATCTGCTAAGCAAGCAGCGAAAGTTTGTGGCTTTTTGTTTTCAACATCATCATCTGTATCATCAGCAGACTGAATGGGGCCTTAAAGATAATTTTTGTTCAAATATATGTGCACAGAAAACAAAAAGGTATATTATATGATGATAGGTTGGATTATTTTTAACTTAAAATCATCATTACATATTAAAAGCGAACAAGTGAATTAGGTGAGTGCTTTACTCGCACTTTACAAGTGTAAACCAAAATGGTACGTGTTTATCTTACCGCAAATTTATAAAATACATCGGGCTACATTTTTGTATGTGCATAAGAAAATCCCAAACAAACAGCCGCAAATAAAATGAATTAAATGCGGATAAAATAGCGAGAGACAAAGGAATGCACAAGGTGGCGATAACAATTTTGGGAATTAGGGAATTCGAATGGAGAACGAGGCTAAAAACCTCAATTGGAGCGTGCGATCTATCTGTGTGTTTGGCGAAAGTTGTGCAAGCCAAATATATCTTCGAGATACAAATACATCGTGACAGCGAGAGAAGCTTGGGTAGAAGTAAAAGTGCGTAGGTAAAAGCTTCGAGCGGAGAATGCGGCTAATGGGCATAATGATGATGAATGCAATCACAATCTCAATCACAATCAACAACCCAATCATCGTCATCATAATCATGAGTTCCCTAGACTTCGGACCAAAAAATAAAAACCCGATACCGCTTTCGCTGCGGCGGCGGCTGTTGAGTGATTTATACGAAATGTGTCAACTCTGGCTGTCTTTTGTGTCTCTCTCCATTTTCTAGTTGCTTTTCCAATCGACCAACAAATTGCCTCCAAAGATTCTAGACTTTCTAGGTAGTCTGCCAACAATTTGTAGGCACTGTCTTGCGACATAAAAATTACACAGCATCATTCAACATGTGTTATCAGTTAGGCGTTCACGGAATTGTTGATTCTGACTTTATTTAAATTAAGCAACTTAAAAGCACACAACAACACACTTACACACAGAACGAATCATGTGTAAAGCCGCTGAGTAACATTTTTATGGAAATTGAAATAAAACGAGAATTTTCATTCAGCTTTTTGGTATTAAAAGCAGACATATTCGGTGGCGGTGATAAGCCAGGGAGAACGACCCGGGAACAGAGCTCACAATGGTTTGATGGGGCAGTTTGAAGTGCCATTATCAGGGGTATTAAAAAGGGGTATTAAAGTGGAAGACGAGACAGAAAAAGTGCATGTAAAGATCACAGCAGAAGTTTAAAAATAAAGCAATAATTATATTCAGTTTCATTCTACTCAGAATACATGGCGTTGTTAAAAAGAATTTTGTATTTCCTTTAATAAAATATTACTAACCTATACAAATTTTATTTTTTTTATTTTTAATTTATTAAGATTTTTTATTTAAAGCTCGTAATTTATTCAACAAATCCAGTCAAGCTATAAATATAGAAGATAAACAAATCAAAACTAGCAGATAAATATTTACCTAGATAGTATATGTGCACACCTAATTAGCAATTCTAAACTTGTGTACAGAAGGGCAACTTATGAGGTTGTATCGCTGCTTCCAAGCTGATATAATCCGACAAAAATACAAAAATGTATTAAATAAAAAAAAAAATCAGAATTATGAAGTCTCAATATCCCATCCAATTGCTCTCAAAAACTGTTTTTCCAGCTACATTTCTGACACCCACACTTTACAGTTGCTCTCAAAAAGTGCAACAACGTGTTTGTGACTAACCGCAAACAATGCTAAAAAGAGGCGAACAACAACGGATAACACCAGCGAACAACATCAATTACAAACGCCCAAATTGCATTTAATTAATGGAAATGTATCCCAAACGTAACGTGATGTTGTTGTTGTTGGTGTCAAAACAGAATCGGAATTGGAATTAGAAATGGGATCGGGTAAGTTTTCAACCCACACATACCTCGCGATTGTTGTTGTTGTTATTATTGTTGATGTGGTTGTTGTTGTGTTGCTGCTGCTGCTGTTGATGAGTGTTGTTGCTGCTGCTATGGTGATGATTGTTGTTGGTATTACTGCTGCTGCTGCTGCTGCCAATTGAGCCCGATATACGCGATCCGGGGGAATCGCGCCATCTCAATACCCCCATGACTGCCTGACGCACCCAACGTCTTTCGGCGCCTTCGCTATGAAATGCCACTGTTGATGTTGCTGCTGCTGCTGCAGTAGGTACTGCTGCGTTTGTTGCTGCTGCAGTTTGCTGTTTTAGCTGCTTCTAAGATTTTGGTCTATGACTTCATTTAAACCTTCTTCTACTGTCGCTGCTGGTATTCAAGTTGTTGTTTCTTGAACTTTCTCGCTTTTATGGGCAAAAATTCGTACGTTATCCTGTGATGTTGCTGGTGGTTTTGATTTTGCTGCTTATTAAATTTTGATTTTTTAATGCCTTTTTTGCATTTTATTTCACCCAGAAGATTTTTCTGTGATTTGCTGATTGTTGGAGATATAATATCTATATCTAAACCTTTTTAAAAAGCTTTTTATTGAACGCGAAGTGTTTTTTTTCCTATAAATTGTGCAGCTGTAGTTGAAGTTGTGGCTTCTTTAGTTAACGTCTTCAAAGGGTTTTTTTTTGTATAGTGGGCGTTCTAAGATCAAATTACTATTTTTCCAAGATGCGGCTGATGCTGAAATTGCAGTTGTTGCTTCGTTACTTCACAAACTCGGGTTAGAACTGCATCCGTGTACCTCTGGTTAGGGTTTTGCTTCAGTGGGCGTTCTCGGGTCTAAAGATATATTCTGTGGTAATTGCTATAATGTTTGCCGACTTTTTGCTTTCGGCTGTTTTGCTCACAAAAAAATTAACGATTTTTTCATAAAAATCTCTTTTTTTACGAGTTTTTTAACCCGTTTGACGGGTTTTTTTTTGCGCTCTCGCTCGGTGACTGTCAAACTGCGGCGTATATGCAAATATTGGGGCTTTCAAATTTTCGGCCAACCAATTTCTAAGCAAATAATTTCACTCGTATCGGTTAGATCCATGCATATGGATGAGAGTATATATAAGTATTGTAAGATTTTTGATGCGTGTTTTATTTTCGTAGATGCACCGCACAAACACACACCCGAACACGCATATTTACACCGATGCAGTTTGGTTTATTGCACTCACAAAATCGGTTTTCGGTTGTTGTTGGGTTTTATTTCGGTTTCGGCATGGAGAAACTGAGAAAAAAGAGCAGATTATGCAGCTTCTTCTTTTTAAAAATAACTCAAAATGCGTGCGCTCCTCGGTAGTTGTTTTTGTTTTGAATTCGTAACGAACAAAAACACGAGCCCGAAAAAAGAGAGCAAGATTTTTAAATTCAAACCGGCTCAAACGTCTGTTTGCGGCAACGGAAAAACGGCAACTGAAAAATGTCCAATGTTGTTCGCTGCTCCGGCCTCTGCCGCTGCCTCAGTCGCTCTGCTCTGTCAACGCACAGTGGGACGGAAATGACACATAGTGACATAAAATCTTTTGCATTTAAGCGGTTATTGAGATATGACTAACTGATGATACGAAACAAAGATTAATCATATTTCAGTTGAATTTTTTTCGTATTTTTTATTTTTAAATTGACAACTGTTGTATAGATTGAGACATTTAAACACACATTTTAATACAATACAACACAATTTAAAGCCATAATATTATTAAATTTCAATTAATTTATTAACCAAATAAAAACGTAATTCTTGGAAGTAATTGTTTAAGGAATAATGCACTTAACCCAAGCGAAATCGTTTGGAAGTTTCGGCATTAACAATATAATGGTAAAAATACTATTTTCGACAAAAATGTCAACTCTATGGCCCACTGTGCGAAGTCGCGTGCTCTCGAAATGCACTAAAAAATATCAAAGCCTGGCATTCAATTGGAGCTGTGTGCGTTAGAGTGAGAGCGCTCTATAGCTGAAGAAAGAGAGCGGCGCCGAGAGAGTGGTGCGCATGCGTGGGAGCTGAGAGGGCGCCAACTTTAAATCGAGTGTTTATTTAATTGCTTGTTAATAAATAATAAATTAAACAAGAGCTGTAAGTAGCTTTCAGTTAAATAACAAATTGAGCCCCTTTGTAAAATTTCAATCATAAGTTGGTTTTCTAATAAAATAATCTTTACCCAAACACTTTATTTATATTATATGCCGTTAAAACTTTAATTTAAATTATTGTGATATTCAGCTTTGTTAATTCAGCCTTGAATCATATAAAATTACTAAGAGCTTATTGTTTGTTTTTTTGTATTATTCATTTTTAAATATTTTAAATCACACATTACATTTAATGGTTAATCATATTAAACAAGATCAGAAATGTTGCGAATATTACAAATTATTGCTTATATTTTGACTAATTTATTATCAGAAAAAACTGGCGTACATTACTAATTATATAACTCAAAAACTTCAGGGACATCAGAAATATTTTATCAAAACGTTGAAAAATTAAAAAAAAGTACAAATCTTATTGACACTGTTTTATCCAAACACTTATAATTCATGTCCGGTTTAAATTATTCAGAGCTCTCCAGTGCTTTTGTTGCTTACAGTATTCTGTATACCCTCCATAAACACATCCAATTTATGATTGCTTCTAGCCTGACCTTGGCATTCAAGTCTTTAATTCTATCGTGCTATGTACCATATACTAAATATAGTTTGATATGGCACAAAGTCAATGGAGGCGACCAATCAACACGTCTGTTTATAAACAAATGTGACCAGAAAAGAAGAAAAGAAGTGAACGAAGAATATTTTGGTTAGGTTGTTATGAAATGCTTATAAGAGGTGCAGACAGAACCAAAAATGGGTGGATTATCAATTAAACTGGTATATTAACAAATATAAATATACATTTGTAGATTTTTAAGCTTTAAGTGTTGCAATTAATTAGGTTAAAACAAGATTAATTTATAGATTTATACTTATAATAAAAATATATACATAGATTGCCAGACCAATTATAATAGTTATTACTGTTAAAGTTAGAGCTAACTTTAGAGCTCCATTTTTTTATTTTTCAGAAGCTTCAATTACATTTCGAGTGCACATAGATGCCCCGTTTAATAAACACATATCTGCACAAGTAGATGGATATTAAGTTTGAAAGATGGATAGACAGAAAGATAGATCGCTGGCTTCCAGAGCGCTTCTCATGGTTAATTGGTTATGCTGAGCCCGCATCTGAAATCCGCCGCAGAGCTTTAAATTCCATGTGAAAGAGTTTTAAGTTGAGGTTTGCCTGGTTTTATTATATTTTTTTTACTTTATTTTTGTGGTTGCTGCCGCTGTCAGCTGGCAATCAACAACGAAGTCAGCGAGGCAGCAACAAGGTAAACATCAGAGACAGCGAAAAAGGGGGAAGGAGTGGACCCATGGGTTTGGCTGGGGAAAGGGGGCATGTGGGTGGATGACACAGCCCTAGGTTAATGTCAGAGATCCGCCAAAAAAGAAAAATAAGCCAAGTCGAAGGAAAATATTTTAAAGTTGCATTGTTCGCGAATGAAGGAAAGGCCATAGAAGAGGAAATTAAAAAGCCACGAATGAGTAACGGAAAGATTTCCACATGGCAAAGTTGAAGAGTGGCAGAAGGAGATATGAACTGGGAAAGATAGAGAGAGGCCGCATGCAACAAGCGGAAAATAATTATAAATTGTAAGTGCCACAGTGCAGGAGGGATAGAGAAACATACATTCAGAGTATCTTTTCGGACTGCTTGGTTTTTTTTTGGGATAATTTACTGGCCCGCTGTACGGATACGTGTAGGTAGATGATGGCGATAAACATCGCACATTTCTGACTTAGAATTCATACGTGAGAGAGTGTGTCGCCCTCTCAGTCTGTTTCTACACTGGAAATAATTTAGATCTGAATGATTTAATCTAATAAAGGCAAAAAAATGTTTTACCAAGAAAATATTTATATAAATTATTTAAAACTGCATTTAATCAGTTTTAGAACAGCTTATAAATGTCACAACTACATTTTATTTCCAAATAATATTTCCAAATAACTTTTCAGCGTGCTAAATCTGAATCCGGACAAGAAAATGTTTTTTTTTGTATAAATCAGTTAAAAGTTACATGAAAGGATTAATTGTTTTAACATTTTCTAAGAGTAGTGCTCCTATTTACTTTAAAAAAACAAACTAGCTATGCAAAAAAAAATTGGGCTAAACTCTGAAACAAAATTAGCTACATTTCCTTTTAATGGGTGATTTTGAACTCTTGACACAAGTATTTGTTCAACGATTCTTTTGCCACTGTGAATATAACAAAAACATATATTTCTTTTTTAAAATTTATTCTCAGTGAGCGCGGTTTTTCTACCACCGTTTCCCCGATTCTGAATGCAGCTCATTTTCATGGCACTGACTGTGGGAGTAGGTTGCTCCGGTCTCCGGGCCTTTCCTCTGTTTTCGGCCAGGTTTGCATGCACCTCCAGCCGGGGAAAGAGACGGCATTTGAGTTTGAGAAAGAGATGGGTGTATCCAGACGAGATGAAGGCGATGTCGTTGCGGCTGACGACCATCGCAATTAACAACTTCAACGTTCGTTGCATTTGCTGGGAGTCAAGTCCAAAGCGTTCGCCAGTGACTGCTCAACTGTGAGAAGAGGAGCGGAGAATCGGTGGGGTAATGAGAAGGGAAGAGGAAGAGTGAGTAGAGGCGGGCAGACAAATTGCACTCGGCGAGCACCACAAACTGAGACAAAGACATAAGAGACTTCTAATGTGTGTGCGGCTAAAAACGAGGGGAATGGGGCAAAAACCGAAGCCACAGTCCGTGAAAAATATGCAAGAAAAAGTCCAAAGCAACCGAAATGAAATGGCCAAAGTATATTTTTATAATGGGAAAGGAAGGGAATTAGGGAGAAAAGCGAGAGGAGCGGGCGTTGGGCATAAATTTCCAGCGAATCTTAGATGGCAGAGGGTTCTCCTCCATAAAACAAAAGACCCCAGATTTCCGGCTTCATGGGAATGCAGCAGAAAGGTGGAAAAGCGGCTAACAAAAAGATGGCCAAACTATGGTGCACCAAAAATATTAAAGATTTTGCTTTACAAAAAAACCCACCAATCTTCTAAAAATATTTTCTCAAAATATAAAAATGAATGTTTAAATTAAATATTTTTATCTTGAGAAGGAAGTTGAGTGTATATCTCGTCAAAAACAAAATTTGTTTTTTATTGTTTGAATTCAGAAAATGGTTATTGATAATTAAAGAGTGAATCACTCTTCCAAAAAATATATTTATAAAATATATATGTCAGGTTTAATCGATGGATAATGTTTAATATTAAAATATAAAATCCACATACACATCGACATTTTAGGTATTTTTGAAATTTCGATCAGGCATACCAATGGCTGACCCTTTTCTTTCCTTGTTTTCTGTGTAGGAAAATGCCAACCCTAAACAACTGCTGTTTGGGCAGCTTAATTAGCCGCAGAAGAGTGAAGAGGGGGTGGTAAAAAAGGTGTCCAACGGAATTCAAGCATACCCAAGCAAACCTTTATTAGCCCCAAAGTATGCAATGGGAAAAAACGTGCGAGAAACTATGCAATAGGGAATACGCAGGGAATTAAAATAGTAAACTAGAGAAAAGGAAGAGAAAAATCGTACTCAATGGCATGTATGGTGGGAAAAACTCCATGGGAAAAGTCGCTTACACTCAGGAATGCTTTCTTTTACGGCACGTGGCCAAACGTCACAGTTTGACAGTGACTGGCCTGAAACCAAATTCAATTTTCAGAACTTAAGCAAACACGATTTTCATACACAGTCTGAGAGTCAACCCAGTTTTGCCTCAAGATGCTAGACGAGACTTTATGCCAGACTTCTCTCCGCCTTTTTTCCCCTTTATTTTACTTTTACCCAAGAAAAGCCTGCATAAAAGGCACTCCAATGTGGATGAGGAGGCTGCGTCTTGAGAAAATATGGCATAGGCTTTCAAGGAGGCGGTGAGGGATGCGGGTTGCACTTTGCTGCACTGCAAAAACCACTTGAGGATAAAGGGTAAAGGGGACGGATGTTTTGCCTTTTGATATAGAAAAGTTTGCCTCCGAAATGGTTGCGAAAACTAAATTAAAATCTGAAAAGGCTTTGGAACTTGCGTGCCTGGCAAGCAGTAGGGCTACAAAAAAGAAGATTGGGAAAAAGCCAAACAGGAAGCCATATAATTCCTGAGGAAGGCCAAGTGGATTATGCTCTAGAAATTCGAAAACAAATTAAGCTCAAACTTTAAAGTTGAGGTGTTTAAATGGGACTTATGAAATAATGCAAGTCGGGCAAGTTATAAAGAAGATAAATAAATGTTTTGCTATTTCAGAGTATGACTTAACTTCTTGTTTTGGTGGATTATAATTTGATTCATTGTTTTGT